TATATATGATTACTAGAATCTGTATTCAGATATAATTTTGTGTATATGTCGACCTCTATTCTCCACGTGGTCCTTGTTGTTCCCAGATTATGGATTTATTAGTAGCCCCAGGTGAGAATCTGCGAGCACATCGCGTGCGGCACGTACGAGACTCGCCTCTGGCAAGTATACTTGTACACCAAGGCACACCACGGGGACTTCGCTGCTGCAGCGGTATGTGCTGCTTTGATTGTGTACGCCGTAGGGGTTTTTTATCCACGTATTTGGCTACTTGTTTTATGTGTTGGAATTGAATAGTTGCTCTGACAGCGGCAAGAATGTTTCTTCTGAGTATTGGTAAATAGGCCTGGTCTTTAATCAGCTCTTAACAGAGTATGAATTCTAGCCGGTATGCGATAATTGTGGTTATAAGCTTGTAGTGGTACTTTGCTCAGTAAGACAGGACGCCTTATTTTCAGGTCTAGCATACCATCTCTGTAGGTTTGGACATCAATTGCATTTCTATGTATTGTGATGCAATCGATGTATCCGCGTATCATTGACAATGGAGGCGGCTCTACTTCGTTCCTTGTCTCAGAACTTTACAATAGGGGAAGTATTTTTTTAACTTCTCCATAATAGTGGGGTTTAGAGTTTTTACGAGTTCTGAAACGATTTGAAACACTTGTAAGACGTATACAGAAAATGTTTGCTACATCTATAGTAAGCGCATACTTTCAGCTAGAAAGATCACATAGTCATATTCGATACATACTTGCATAAACGTGTGATATATACGCACAGCTCATTCCTCGATGCTGGGGCATGTAGCCACCGCGTACTCGCAAACTCACACACTCTTCCGCAATTGAATTACAGGTTTTGTCATCCGACCCTATATATAAAGCATTGGCTGTAATGTTAGATCAGGATGTGAAGTCGTTGCCAATAAGAAATGCCACAGATACGGCCTGGATTGGTATGGTGGACTGTATAAGCATCTCTGAGTACCTGTCTTCAGCCACGTCTGATGACGCCTTTCTGGAACCATTGCTCGGCAATGTTAGGCTATGGGTGTGTGTCATAGAAGTGCACGCGTTCCCGTATGCATAGATGTGAACCTTAATGCTTGCTGCTCCGTGTTGCCAATTAGCAAGATTTGACATGTGATTTTATAGGTGTGTACTGTTTGAGCGCATCCAGTTTGCCGGGCGCTCGTCTATGGTCTCCATTGCGGTGTCTATTTTTTTTTACTTCTACAAGAGGGGTATTACATCGCTCTGCACATCATTTTAAAATATGATTCACGCAGTTAGGGTGTTTATCTTACCGGCTTCTTGTATTGAGCGTGATCTAAGCCCGAGCTGGGATGAATGTTCTGGGATAGTATCGAGATGGTATGTCTCCAGTGAATCATTACTTTACACCTCATTCTTGCAGAACGTGTCTTTTTGTATTCAAATAACTGATGGGTATTTTTCACTCCACTACTAAACTAAGGTTGACACTATTGCCACTCTTATTTTTGGCATGAGGAGAGATTGGTATGATATGCATGTATCACCCTGCACTATTCAATTGAGGTTTGTAAATATCCTATCGCCGATGCTCATCTACTGTCACATATTTCAATCTCGGCTTGGCTGTTCGTGTAGGAATGGGACGAAGTTACAACAAATGCGAATGAACACCTCGAAGCGGTCGTGCACCATATGGTTTTCAACTTCTGTCACAGTCTCATGGGTAGGTAGAAAGCTCTGTATTTGGAGAGTGTGATAATTGTGTTCTGATTGTTAGTTGTCTCCCATCCACCTGTAGAAGACCATGGTATCCACGTCTGGCCAGCCCGATGCGTGCTACATGGCGCTCATAGTACACTCCAGATCAGGACGCAGCAGGTCACTATATCGGCCCTTCAAAACATTGTATACACCTGACAATTCGCGAGATTTGTACTAACATTACATGATATGTACTTCTCTCTCCGATAGCTGTCGACGGGGACAACATTATTGGATACATCACACAGCAAAGTGTCACGGCACTCTTAGACCAGCATCTAGACGCCATATACGACGAGAGCGATGAAACACTCCAACATCTCGGTTTTGTCACGGGGCGTATACTCACTTGTCAGAAGACCGACACCGTACGCACATGCATGCAGACGCTAAAGGATAAGCACTTCCAGTCGATAGCAAGTAAGTGTGGACGCTGAGTATAACCCGTGTGGTCTAGGAGTGTCCTTGTTTTCTACTGCGCATCTAAGTCATGATGTGCTTGATTTAGCGAAGACTTGAGTTATTCTTGGGTACATGTGACCTCTACTAGATAGATGCGGTGTCCGTAATATGCGTGCAACGACTCGGATCTTCAATTAGGGATGAATGCCAATTTCACAAAATGGTTCTACTATTGGGGGAGTTGTATGTTTTGTGATGTTTCTACTATTGGGAATTGTATATTTTGTGATATTTCTACTATTTGGGAATTGTATGTTTTGTGATCTTTCTACTGTTGGGAGTTGTATGTTTTGTGATCTTTCTACTATTGGGAATAGTATGTTTTGTAATGTTTCTACTATTGGGAATTGTATGTTTTGTGAACGAATGGCTCGAGCCAACTCTGCCCTGTCATCGCGTGTTGGTGTCTGTGCGTGCACACGTGCATGGCTGACGAAGGCGAACAGTTGAGACACGTGGGGACTTAGTGCACTGGTTAGATTTAAATCGTATTCGAATTTGTTTGCCAAGCTCTTGCAAATCAAATTTGACTGGATGAGTATAGGGTTTTATCAATCCAACCTTTTCATACATATTTGATGCTGCTTTTGTCATGCTAATTTGAATGTCCCTGTCTTATTAACTCGTCAGTTATTTGCTCAGAAGTCAATCGTCAAACTTGCATGTTAATCGCAATGATTTTGTACATTACCCATGTAGTTGTAGATGCGTATGGAAAATTAGTCAGCGAGTTTTCCTCGTCAACAATCAGAAGTATTACAAGCGTGGCAGAGATGGATGTGCCATTAGAGGATTCAGATCAGTATAGGCCTTGGGTGCTGACTTGTCTACCGGTAAGTGCGATCTGTGATACGGTAATTACTATGAAGAAGTACAGGGATTCGAGCAGGGGGGGACATCACAATCATCCCTGTAAGCATGCGGAAGCGCGTTGCTGGTTTATTCTCCTCTGGAATATTCCCCTTGTATTGCTGTTTTAATCTCAATGTTACCTAATCGCAAACTTCAGTTCTTTGTTACGGTATGTTGAAGTTGTAGGTATGCGCCTCAGGGGTACGCCAGTCTCGAATAGTGTTCTCCTATCTATGATGTATCAATGCATGGGTGTGTATCGCTGCTCTCTTGATAGGATCCAACATGTCACATGTGTAGGTCGAGCACAATACGGCTGATTTCGAGAATTGTCAACTTGTTTAGTCATTATCGATATACATTGGTGTCCGCCATATAGGCTGCAAATTTGAGGCTTCATGATTTTTGTACTCATCACCGCACAAACATTCATCTGAATACAAACGGATCTTACGGAAGCGCATCCGATTACCGAAACGTATTGTCTACACATATCACATTGCTCTTCGGACACAGCCTCATACTTTGCTAATTTTTTCATGCTCAATCTTTTCAATTTCGCAGAAGAGCACCATACGAGAAGTGATTAGAACACTAGTCATCAATGACCTGTATCGACAATATATAGTAGAAGCTGGAAGGCCAGTGGGAGTCGTCACATTATCCGGTATATTGGCTAAAATTTCGCAATTATAAGGACTGCCAGTCAAAACAATATAGAATCGTTGTATGAGCACACATCGACGAAAGTTGACAACTAAAATAAATATTAGAATTATCCGCCACAGAGTACCAACTTATATATTGTCCTCGAGCTATTTACGATCGACTTAACTTGTACTTGCAAACAATTTGTCTGGAATATATCGAGTGTCTCGAAGGTTTTCAAATGGTGCTTTTAGCTAACCCAAAACGTATATACCCAAGTTCACTGTCTAACCAGATGCAAGGCATCACCAATCGCGAGAAAATTTGAAAAGACAACAATACGGAGTTTGTTTTTCTGTCGTGTTTGACTAGTATCAATGTAAAGGTGCCGCAATAAGCTGTGCCGATTGAATAAAGTTTAAGTCCAAATTTCAGTTTAGAAATTGAACACCCCTGAATCTGCTAAGTCTTCAATTCGGTTGAAAAACAAAACCTGATAGCGTAGTCTGTGTACATGGAGGTGTCCGGATATATGACATCACATAGAAAACCAGGGTAGTCTAAGGTTGTATTAAGTTATGCACAATGGCTGTCTCTGTCTTCAATTCGGTTGGAAAACAATCCCTGACGGCGTAGTATGCATAGAAATGTCTGTTATAAGTCATCACAAAGATGACTAGGGTACTTTCGGTCGTACAAGCTAGTACAGTGACTGTCTCCGTCTTCAGTTTTGCTGGAAAGAAGACCTGATATCGTGATAGCTAATGTACACGTGTAGGATCGAGCCGTGGCTGTATAAGTTGAAATTTTGTCGGAGGCGTGTTTACTGCGATAATATTTTTAAACATGTCTTGTATCTTCTTCATACAGCAACCGCTACTTTCGCACGCGATGGATAATCTGTGGCAAAGCAAGCACTTGTTGTCGAATAAGAAGAGTGGTGAAACTGATGTATAAAAATTACTTAAGCTATGACAAACTAAGCATCTGTATCGACGACTGTACTAAAATAAGAATATGCATCGAAAATGTAGGCGGGTGTGTGATAGCGGTTAAACAATCGTTGCAAAGCCATGACAGAGCAAGCAATCGCAGCGGCATATATAACTTTTCTACTTTTCACCAGTGTGATTGCCACAAGTTTGCTCACAGATCTTTTTATGGAGTAGATAGGGATGTAACCCCTTCAAGAAGAGATCGATACCGTGAAGAAATACTCGCACAACTAGAACCGTAAAGAAATAGCTGCACAACTAAAACCGTGAAGAAATACTCGCACAACTAAAACCGTAAAGAAACACTCGCACAATTAAAGTGTAGACACGGTTGCACTTGGATCAAAAAAGCAGAGTTGCCCGATTGTGAAAATATAAGCGGTTGTATGCGTGAGCGTGATGAGCACGCAAGGGTATATCATAAGCCTTTCTGAGCGTAAAACCACCGTTTGGTGAAGCAAATCGAGAATAGTGACTTGGTTCAGAAGGGCTATCTGCATTTCCAACAACTTTAAAAAGAGGCAAACGACCGTCTAGTTCAAGAGAGTGACAGAAACTGACCGATATCATGTGTAGTGTGTTGGATCTTTGCAATCCAGCATTGCGTAAAGTCATAGTCGGCCAACATCAGTTACAAGTACGTACTGCCATGTTTACAAGTACGTATTGCCATGTCGAGCCTAACAACACAGAAATCATGTCGATACACGCAAGTTATGCTCGCCTTTTGTATTAGCCTGCAGTAATTCGTATACGAGCTCAAATGCAGTCATCACGTCAATACATCTGCTCCAGACGCCTTTTGTCGCCGGGCAACATATTGAGACCACACTCTGATAACCATTTGGAACGCACCCGTTTATATCATTTCTCACTAAATAGCACGTCCTTGAGCATTCTGCTTGCCGAGATTCTTGCATAACGTACTTCTAAAGCGGGATTCACGGATAAAAGTGTGAGAGATAATATATCTTATTGACGAATCTGGCACGTGAACCAATTGTCATAGTTTGAATCATGTATCATGTATGCCGCTTTACCAACAATGAAAGGATACAAAGTACAACATCCGACTTAATTGACTGTCAAAACTCACGGTTGTTGCTTTTGAGCTATGATTATATTAGGTCGAGAACATGTACTTCATGTGAAAATACATTTTTGTATTCAAGAAATTGCTCATAAGAAACCGAAATATGTACGCTATTGTATCTCGCGTTTCCAAGGGCCGCAAAAACTATACTTAAATGATGGGAATAAGAGCTCAATTTACATATATCACCCTATATGTCGGTCTGAAAGTATATTGCTAGATTCGCGTGGCTTGACTGGAAGATGCACAACGGAACATTTTGCGATATTCTATAGCAATATTGCGCATACTACGCTATTTATATGCATCTGAAATAGGATGCATAGAAGAAAAATATATAAAATTTGAGATCAATATGCTAGATAGCCTAGACTTCTGATACTGATATAACGTCCCGACTATCGGCAACTGAAGTGCGACTTCAATGGTGACCGGTTGCCACCAATCTCGCATTTGTGACAGTTGTTATTTCCAGTTTACACCACCTTTTTACTCGAAGATGACTATACTCGATTGCAATTACAGATTGACGACCTCCAGTATCCAGTCTAAAATAAGCAGGTGTCCATCGTGACTATGAAAACTCATTAAACTTAAGAAGTCGAGATCTACCGCATTCAATTCTACCAAGCCATGACTAGATGTTTATGTGTAAACTATGGCTCACGAAGCTCAAGTCGCCTTATTAATTATTGGTCAGTGATTGTTTTCTCTGCAATACGTTTATTAGTTTACACCGAGATCAGAGCCCGAGACCCATGGAGACAGTGGTGGAAATGAAAAAGCAATATGCCAGCCGATGAGCCGACCGATGTCTATGTATTTAACTACTTTCGTCACAACAGACGCAAACTCAATGTACAAATGAACATCTAATATGGCAAGCAAGTTTTTGCTATACATAAATATGTATGTTCAATGTTTTCACGGCCATCTTAATGGCGGTTTTTTTAGGGGTTTACGGACGTTAGTCCGTTGTGGCAAATTTTTCTTTCTCTAGAGGGTCATGATCGAACTCAACTTTTAGTCTTTGACTTTGTAAAAAAAATATTCAGGACACCTGTGCTGTTTGGAACGAAATTTCAAATTTTATTTACATCCCTCGAATTGCGAATTCCGAAATTCGAGATAAAAAAAAGATTATTTTGCAAAATCAACGACGGAACCTGCCTGAGCCCTGAGGGCGGCCCTGGGGCCTGATGCCTGGTGGCCTGGTCAGAGGTCACCCTGGGGTCTGGGCCTGGTGACCTGGAGGCTAGACACCTGGTGGCCTCTTGTTTAATTGTTATCTAGTGTTTAATCTAAAAAACGATGGTTCGAGTTCTAAGATTCCAAGAAGTTTGAAGATTCAACGTTCGGGCGCTCCTGAAGTTCTGTAGTTCTGAACTTTTGTCCCATTGGCCATTTATACACAGGAAGATTTCAGAATTGTGTCCGGAGTAAAGATTTGATAAAGAGGAGCGGAGTAGCTTCTCCATGTATTTTATTTTTAATTATATTTGTGTCCAGTTTTAGGTCACTCACTCTACTGTCGACTGTCGAGTGTGTACTATGCAGCCTGCTGCCTGTGGGCTGTGGGCCCGGCCTGTGGGCTGTGGGCCTGTGGGCCTGTGCCCTGTGGGCTGTATGTAGCCTGTAGGCCTGTGGCAGACTGGCAGTTTTGAGTTTGAAGTTTTTGCATTGCCCTATGGACTCTGCTGTGTTAGACTGTCACTGGGCAAAAGCCGAAATGTCTGATAAGCGTCATGCCGCATGCGGTTACTATATAGTAAGTGTGCTTAGTTTGTGAATTCCTGGCGCCACTGGGTTACAGTGTTAGACTGTTGATGGGCGAAAGCCGAAATGTCCGATAAGCGTTATGCGGTTACTATATAGTAAGTGTGCTTAGTTTGTGAATTTCTGGCGCCAAATGATAATTTTTGGGCCGATTTTTGGATTTGGAGAATAAGGATTGTCCTCCAGAAATCTCTTGACCTTTCTTGGCATTTTAATATCCAAATACAGCTACTGCTTACCCCTCCCTAAATAAACAAGTTATCAAACTTTATACAAAAAAACTTTTATAATAGCATATAATATATACAAAACCCTAAATAAACGTGAGTTCTTGAGACTTGAGAGTACAAAGTTATAGGCGATATTAGGTTATGGGCACTATTCTTAACCGATCTTCATAATTCTGTACTATGCTCGGCTCAACCGACGATTGAGAGAATACAGTAGCAGACGTATTTCTATATAGGTTAGTAACGTTTTACGTCGTCAGCCCGAGAGTAATTTGGGACTTGTTCTCAAATTAATATAAGTATAGGTGGGTCAGCCCGAGAGAACGTAAGAGTAATCTGAGAATCCTCACCTTTGGTTTTATATCTAATGTGTTTGTGCTAGTGTTCAGCCGCTTGGGCTGGCCAGGGTAAAAACTCATATGGTCAGTATGAGAAACCTTAGGCAGAACACTTTAGCAATCGTATATATTTTCCAGAAATAAATATATCATATTCTCTGTTACTACACTCAGTCTCGGACCTCGGCTCTCGGCTAATAATCTGAGAAGAAGTCTTAAATTACTCTTACGTTCTCTCGGGCTGACCCACCTATACTTATATTAATTTGAGAACAAGTCCCAAATTACTCTCGGGCTGACGACGTAAAACGTTATTAACCTATATAGAAATACGTCTACTACTGTAGTCTCTCATTTTCACCTTGTGTCAGTCGTGAATATTTTCAAATCGCCTTTCATTGGACATTTCGCATTTCATCGTGGCCCTGTTATTCAGCGAAAGGTCAATTTCTCAGGTGTAAATTTGGAAAATTTTCATGGTCGATCTGTCCCCGATATACTTTAAAACGGTTAAAAACAAAACTTTTTGAGTTTACGTTTAAAGTTTATCGCATATAGGCAAAGCGTATTGAGTTAGCCTCCAGTTATCATACATTACAAGCTTACCGCTACACCACTTAGTTGTAGTAGAAAAACCCTAAAAGGAAAATATACTACCCATAATTACTACTTTAACAAATAAGCTATTTATTTACTACAACTAAAACCCATCGTAAAAGAAGAAAACCCCATGAATATAGTATGATAATTTATTGTTTTCCACTGTTCACCAGTCGGTTCACCACTTTAATCAGGACATGGATCGAGGAGGTCAGGTTCCGTAGGTGCTGGTTTATCTTCAACATGCCAGAGCGCCGAGCCAGAGGATCCAAACGTAGCCCCAGAGCGCGTGGTTTTATATTTCTAAGGCAGATGCTTCGGTGAAAGCGCGGGTGGCAGGACTACCTGTGTACGAGACTGCGCACTACGAGCAGTAGCAGAAGTAATAGCACTGTACACAGTAGTACGGCTACGACTACCAGCTTCTTGTCTCGGACGGAGCTGAACAGGTGTAGGCAAGGGTGATGGCAGAATTATTTGTGTACGAGACTGCGCACTACAATCAGTAGCAGAAGTATCAGTAGCACTGTGCGCAGTAGTATGAGTAGTACGGCCACGACTACCAGCTCGGTGTCTCGGAGGTTGCGCACTAAAAGCAGTAGCAGCAGTGGAAGTTGGAGATCGAGATGGTGAGCCGGACATCGGTGTCTCATGTTCTAATGGTTGACGCGCCGATAAACCTCCCGCAACAAGCGCGAAGTCCTCGATCGTAGTATACTCCCATTGGCTGGCGGGTGTCAACGTTCCAGGATCCTCGTCCTGGTAGGAGTGGTCCCCCCACCGGGACATATAAAATCGGCCTTGCAGTTCAACCATTAACTGTCTTTAATAGACCGAATTCATACGGTCGTTCACGACTGCCGTCTCCTCGCGGAGATAAGTGGAAGTCTTCTATGGCGAAATGTACACTGCATACATGTGGGTGACGCACAGCCCTGAGATAGGGCCCAATACCAAGGGTCTCGATGTGAGCAAGTTTAAACAGCACCAGTCTGTTTCTGAAGTGCTCATCATATTTCGTATACACTGCATCACCGGCTATAGAGCATCTACAGGTTTCCGGCATGGAATTTTTTTGGTTGATAAGCAGAAGTAATCTTGTAATCAAATGTCAGAGTGGCAAGAACTGTCAAACATGTCCTAATATATACACTGTAAACTATTACAGCAATTACAGTGACCACAGTTTGCGTGGCGAAGTAATAGTACCAGGTGTAATAGAAGCGCCAGTTTGACACCATAATAACGTTGTGTGTTTAGGAGTAGTCGTAAAATACATAGCTGGTCTTCTACAGAATCAAGTACTGAAAAAATGTATTGCAGATGTTGAGTTGCATGGAGTAGCGGCAGTTTGACACCACAATGACGTTGTGTGTTTAGGAGTAGTAGTATAATATACAGCTGGTCTTCTACAGAATCAAGTACTGAAAAATATGTAATTGCAGATGTTGAGTTGCATAA